TGGTGAATGGCGTTCAGTGCTTGTCGATACGCCGTCCTGTCCAGCGGTTGTTTTGTGTGTTGCTGGATCGTGTCCTTAAAGTCTAGTACTCCCTCTGCATTCGTGCTCAAATTTGCTGCTGAGGCCGTGAAACATATAAAGATGGGTCTCCTTTATTTTTTAGTAACCCTCCCGCCCCCTTTGAGAGCAGAAAGTAACAGCTGTCTATATCAACTTATAGTTTCAATATTGAATTTTCCACTTAAATTTTTAACAACGAAAAATTCATTAATTAAAGTCAAACCAAAATTCAGCAACCATTTGTAATTAATAAACGCAACCTTGTCCAGCACAAAGCTTAAGCGAACAATTCCAAGGACCAAAAATACAAATGAAAATAGAATGAAACACAATAAACGAGTGAAACTGTGAAGCAATAAAGATGGGACATTTCCGCAAATAAAGCGCGAACGAAACAGTGAGGCAAACAACCAAAGGGACAAATAAAAGCCAACAACACTAAAAAGCATAAACAAACGAAATAATATAAAAATTTGGAATAAAAAAATCTAAGAATAAAAAAGTAACGAAAAATCACAAAAATGGTCATGGCTCGATGGACAAATAAAAATTCAGACAAAGTACAATCAAAACATCGATATTTGATTTTGAGCAGCGGTGGCGGATCGCAATGCAGCTAGAACAACACTAACAAGCCTCGTTTTACTTGATATGTATGTGTGTATGCATGCAGTGTGCCATGCGGTGTGCTGCGATGCAAATGAGTTTGGTGTGAATGTGGTGGAAATGGTGGTGGAAATGGTGGTGGAAATGGTGGTGGTGATGATGACGCTGATGGCATTGGCTACAATTTTGTGGCACCAATTTCGATGGCTCAATAACGTGGCTTACAGCAAGAGAAACGATGATGACGTTGTAGGCTTTTTTGTTGGCAAAAATGTCTATTTATATTTTCTTATTTTTTTACATTTTTTTACACATTTTTTCTACTATTTCCGCGTATAAATTGTTATCACTCGCATTTGTTTGAATTTTCTTTCCATATTATTGCTGTAATGTTTTGTTATGCTTTTGCTTCGATAGACTGATTTCAATGCATTTTTTTTGTTTTTGTTTTTGTTTTTGTTTTAATGCACTTTTGATGGGGAAAAAATTCGTTCCTTTTACCGTAAATTGTTGAAATGCAAAACAGCATTGCTGTAATTTAAAACATTTTCTGCATATTTTCAATTGTTTTCCACTGCCCCACGAAGTTGTTTACGCATCGCGCATTACATAATGTTGCAGTGTTGCATTGGAAATGGCTTCATGCGATTACTAGTTGCAAATAAGAAATATATAAATAAAACATAATAAAAAAAATTGGCTAAAGAGCATTTAAATTGATATAAACAGGACTTTCTGTGGCTATGTGACTACAAAATAAGAGTTCTAAGGCATAAGAAGGTGTTTTTTTTTACTTTTCGATTAAAAATTGCAAATTAATGCAAATTTATTTTCCACTGCATTGCAGGACTTTTCCATTAATTTGTAACAGTTTCGATTTCTTGGGAGCTTCTTTAAGCTGACGGCGCAATAAATTTCCGAGATTCAATACAAAACTCAAGAATTGAGTACACGAAAATACAAAGAGAGAAAAACACAACTTTTTTAATATTTATTTAAAATATATAGAATTAATTTAATTTTAAACTAGAATAAAATATTTTAGTTGATTAAATGAATATTTTTTTTCTTTGCATTGAAAAATTGAAATGAAAATAAAAATTTTTTAAATTTATTTATTTTTTTTTTTTTTGAAATACGAAAATTGTAGATAATCAAAAAAAATTTGTTGTGATTTGGACACATTGATTTTTGACAGATTTCTCTGACTGTGTAAAAATATAATAATACGTGTTCGAATTCTGACATTTCAATATGTTTCGTGAAGACTTTTCTGCAAATAGTCGTTCGTTTAAAAAACTTTCTTTTACCTGAATTTTAATGAAACGATTTATGAAGAATGATATGTATGAATCTAACTCAAAAAGGTATGGGGCTCATCCTTTCAGGAAGTGTTGATCCCAATAACATAATTTAATATAGCAAGTTTACGATCTTTAATTATTACCAATTTTGCAAAAAAAAAAGCAGAATTTTATAAAAATCTGAAAACCCCATGCGATTGATATAAAATCGAGCAAGATTATGTAATGTAATGTATGTATATATGTAATAATGGTAGCTTCTATGAAAATGATAACACCTAAGTCGTGTCAAACATTTTTTCAATAATAGCGAATTTATGCTCAAAATTTCTGGAACTTTCGGGTTCTGATAAAACTTTCCTTTTTATAAATTTATATGCGCCACCCATTGGACTTTTTAACTATGCCTATTATTGACAGACACTAAATAATGATTACGAAAACTTGCTCAGAGCGAAGCTAACCCTGAAAAAGTATATAAATACCCGTATAAAGGTAATCATCTTGCAGGGTGATCAACTAGCCTACGATTTGAAAAAAACCTAGAAAATTGAAATTTAAAATTGGCATACTTCAAATCATGATTTCCAAGGAAAGGTAGTTTCACTCAAAATTTTTTTGAAAAATATTAACCATCTGGCTTAAAACGATTTTTTGACTCTCGCTTTATTTTTGTGCTGCCAATTTCGTTTTTTGAAAAAATAGATTTTCAACTTTTTGAAATTAAAAAAAAAAATACCTTTCAAAAAATGCAAAACCTTTCAATGTCAACAAAAATATGAAGAAAAATAAAATATATCCCCAAAAACCTTTGTATTGTGTTTCCTCAAGTTCAATGGAAATGAAATTTTTTTCAGTCGGCTTACTATTTTTTTTATCAAAAATATGAAATAATTTTAAAGTGGCAATATCTTGATGTTGAAAAGAAAAGAACACAATATGTTAAAAAATCTTTTGCTGTCAATTTTTTTTTTTTTTTTTTTTTGATGAAATTAATTTTATTTACTATTGATATCAGTAAATAAAGGATTAAAAAATCTTTTTTTCGGAGATGGTTAATATATTTGAAAAGTATATTTGGCCGAAGCCTTACTTTTTGTAACAGGCTTCAAATCAAATTAAGATATTCTGTGCCGCTTATGGCTCATAAAAATATCACTTATGAAGATTTTTAACATATTCAAACAATTTTCGTTTCAAGAATTTGGTCTAGGCTGTAAAATAACACCAACACATATTCATTTGTTCTCGATTCTTTTTTGCTAAAGTAACTTTGTGGAGCTAAATGCGATTGCTTGCGCTCTCTGATAATTTTAGTTAGTTAATCTATAATTTAAAATGGAAGACAGCAAATGCATCTCAGGAAAATGAAAATATAATCAAAAATTATGAAAAAAATATTAGCGAAAATATAGACAAAGAATAATAAGTTTTTGAATCAAAAAACTGAGTTAAAAATTTCGAAAACTAAAAAAAATCTGTCGAAAATACAATTTATATTTCAATTATTGTACAATTGCTTAAAAAAACTTCCAGTAAACTAAGAAACAAACCCATGGAACGTTTACTGATAAAATCAAAATGTGGAGCTGAATTGATTTATTTATATGTGTACGTCGTCTGTGCGTCAGTCTGTTAGGATATTTTAAGGAAACTCAGTATGTAACAATCATTTTGTTGAAATTGGGCAGATCGGATGACTAGATAGATAGATATAAAATTTGCAATCATAACTCTCTCAATTTCGCCGAATCAAAATTTTGGCTGTTTTCACGAAAAATATCAAATACTTAACTCTTCTTTCTTACTATTTTTAAATTCATTGCACCAATTGCACCTTCCATGGTTGGTTTCGATCACTTTGCTTTAAAAACCTTAAAAACTAATTAAGTTATTTCTAATTGGAATTCAAACAATATTGAATATGTATACACGACACACTTCGTTCATCTTAAAAATAATTTTCAAACAACAGGCAAGTTTTAGTTTTACGGAACATATTTAAGTCGAGTTCATTTGAGTTCAGTTCAGTTTAGTTAAAAATTACATTAATTTATTAATATTTTCTACTTTTGCACATTTTTTAAATCTCTTCTTAACATTAAAGACTTTATTTCTAGATATAAAAATCCATCATTTGAAAAGGCGACCAAAGAGTGTGAGATGAATCGAGTCAAAAATTATAGAAAATTAATTTAATTAAAAATTTAACTCAATCGCGGTCGTCCCTCGGCAAAGAGCGTCTAGCCCTTCGAGTATATTTCTAACATGAAACAAAAGCCATAATCGCTCAATAATAACTACAGTGAGCACAAGTCGCCAATTATATATATATATATATGATATTCAAAAATGCCGCTACAGAATTATTGTAGCTTGGTAGAAGCACGAGATGCTGATCTTTCTTTCTTTTTTTTCCAATTAAATGCAACCTTTAGAGCTTCCATAAAAGTAGAGAAAAAATCGAGACTTTTTACGATATTATTAAAATAATATATATAAAGTGTGTTCTAAGAAATCAGTTTTATTGAATTTTTTATTTTCGAGAAATTTATTTTTTTTGCCGACGTAAGCAAATACAATTTTATTAATAAAAATTTTGAAGTAAGAGAAGCTATGGAAAGCTGTTTAGACTTAATTTAACGGGTTTTTCCCTGAAGGAAAAATTTATGTTTGAATCTTGTTGTCGCTTGTCTGTAACTTTTGGGCAAAAATTTATTTTTTTCTTATTTTTGTATGTAACAATTTAGGTCTTCAGAAGAACTAAAATGAATTCCTAGCAAAATTTTATGATCCTAAAAACAGTTTATATATAATTTTCATATCAAATTTATTGTATAAATGCTACATCATAGCCAGCAAATGGCTGGAAACTAAGATAACATCGACTACAGTTAGTTTAAAAAAAAAAAAACTTTGTCCATAATAATTGTATATAGATTTAAGATATTAAACCTTAACTGACTTAATTAAAATGGTACTATTTATGAAAGAAAAAATATATATGTTTGGTTTATTGACATAACTCACCTTTTATTAGTTTTACAGTTATTTAAGCGCTGATAGAGCAACAATTTCTGACATCGAAATTCAGCCACCGGCTTTTTGTCTTTTTTCTGCTTTTGTTAATAAGCTAGACTTTTATGCCACTCTTTTTATTATTATTAAACGCACTGAACTCAATTCACTTTAGCAAAGGAAAAAATGTGCTTTCCATGCACTTTTCATTTTTTTAGGCAAACAATTTTTTTATATTTTCTGAATCAAATTTTATATTTATTTAAATTCACCGCAACATTATCAACAATTGCTTTTTATGTGCCATTAATTAATTGATTTATTGCATGTTTTAATCTGAGTGGTGTAAGTTGCGTTTTTATGTACTGTTTTTGAGTTATGGTTTTTATTGTTTTGTTCTTTTTTAGTTATTATTAACAATTATTGGCATTTTTTTTAGCTTCCATTGCATTGCGCGGGATGCTTCAACCCTTTTACAACATAAATTCAGTTTCAATTGTGTTACTTATTTTTTAGTAATTTTTGGTTGTTTTTAGAGCATATTTCCGGGGGATTTTTGGTATGCTTTCACTTGTCAGTCTTTAGTCTTCTCAAGTATACCAAAGTGATTTACATAAACAATTTCTTAATTATAATATTATTAGCTTTCTGAAGGCTATTTTAATAATTTTATAAATAAAAATTCTCTTGGTTTCTTTGTTTTATTTTCCATTCACCGAGCAAATGTTTTCTGTCACTCATACGTCACGTCGCACTTGGCGCGCTTAAATTTTATTTTTACTCCTGTTGCTGCTCACTTTTGTTGCTATTTTTCGGCGTTTATGCACACGTGTCTTCAACAATCTGTCGGCCTTACTCACTAGCAGCTTGCTTATACCGACGCTTCTGTATTTTCTTACAGTTCGCCGCGGCAAATGCGTTTTTGTAGAAAATTCTTAATTCGCTTTCTCCAAAGAGATTTGAAGCGTGTTTGCGTATGTGTTTGTGTCCTTTTGCAAAGTGTTTATTTGTCTTCGCCGCGTACTTTTATTGTCACATTTAAGCTGAAATTTCTTAACCTTTTGTTTACTGTTTCAGTGCAGTGTGCGTGCTCGATGAGAGTAAAACACGACAAAGCGACGGGAAAATTGATGCAAAAATAAATTTTCGTGGTTGTTTGTGAAATTTTTCTTTGATTTTTTATATTTAACTTATTTTATATATATTTTAGTCATATTTTGTCAGTATTTTATTAGCTTGTGTATGCACTTGCTTTTTACTTAAAACAAATTTCCTTACAGTGCGCCTTAAGATATGCAATGTTTTGCTCAAAACTGTCTATTTGTATACTTATATGTATGTATGTTTGTATGTATTTTATTTTTAGTTTTATAATTTGTTAATTTTTTCCAAACTCAGCCACAATTTACACGTTTCACAATATTTATATTTAATCATGTATGTGTGTTTGTGTGCTTGCGTACTGTTCACAACCGTTCAACTTTAAGCGAGCGAGATTAACTCTCAGTGTAGTTTATTTGTGTATAAATATTTTATGGAAAATTAGTGGTGATAGGATATTTTCGGTTTTGTTTTAAGTTTTCTAGCAAATGATATGGTTGTTGTTATTATTATTTAAGTGTTTACATTGCCACGTATGCTTATAGTTTCTTACTATTACAAAAAGTTTTGATTTTTAATTTAAAGTCGCATACTTTTTAGCGCAAAGTTCAAAAAAAAGATTACTGTATATTATTTATTTCAATTTGTGATTCTTTTTTACAAAATATACGTTCAGAAATTATCTGCGCTAATACTTCGCATTTTTCCTTGTTTTAGTAGCATATTTTTGGGGTGCTTGTAACAGTCTTTTTGGCTTTGAAAGACTTCCAAAATTTTCACGCCTATATATTATTATTTTCTTTTCTCTCGCTTGTTTATATATTTATGTTTACTGGCGCGTAAATAGCACAAATGTCAGTCAACGCCAAAAGGTATGCAATGCAAGTTCGACACGCAATTGAAAAGCCATTATTTAGATACAAAATTTAAAAAGGAAAGTGCACTTGAATAAATTTCAGTTTCCGCAACTTTATATTTTGGTAAATTTTTTTCTATATTCAGTCCAAAAAATATGCAATAGTCCTTTCTCCCAATATCGGTTACCTTCTGTAGAAATATATTAGGTTTTCGAGAGCTTGCTTGAAGCAGAAAGAATTTCACTTTAAATTTTTAGTTTTTTTTAAACTTGCCCAAAAGTATACACTGAATTTTTAATCCATAAATTTGAATTGCGTTAACAGAGTCTTTTTGTAAATATTATGAAATATGAAGTACGTAATCGGTAATTTATAAGAAAAAATATTTCACATATTAGGAAACATTATTATAAGGTAAGTTTTTTTCAAGTTTTACTTCATGTTAAGTTTTTTTAGAACTAATGTTTTTAAGTAAGTTAAGTGGCTGAAAATATGCAAGTTTGAAAACAGAATTTGAAAAGATTTTGCAAATTATATTTAGTTTTTTTGAGCTGTTCTTTTATTGAAATGTCAAGCACAATATTTTCGAGTGCCTAAAAGTATATTTTTAATTCTCGATTTATTTTCCAAGTTTGATTGCTTTTATTTAGCATTTAGTTAATAGTTTATGTTTATCATTTGTGCAAACAATTATAATTTTTTTTAGAAACACCTTTTAACTTTTAATTTGCGCATGAAAGTATGCTTTAACTTTTTAAGCACTACCTTTAATGTCAGTACCGAATACCGAAGTTTCATTTCCTAACCATACACGCATGTTTTTACGTTGTACTAGGTCCGGATCGTTTACTTAGCAAACAAACTTTCGAGGATTTCATGCAAAATGCTATAAAATTTCTATTTAAATATTTTTTTTTAATTTTGAAAATAATTCTCAACTCGCTTGCCCAACAAAAAAATTACGCAAAATGCAAATTTACTCAAAATATCCGGCTTAAAATGCGCAAAAATTGCACTTTATCACTAACTAACACGTTTGCATTCGCCGCCGACACACGCTACTGCAACAGGGAAGTGTCATCCTTTCGTAACCGTAATTCGCGTTAAACTGATCCTTTCAATTCCGAAAAATCGCAATGCCTTTTTCCTTTGGCTACATCGGCCAATGCCAAACAGTCAGCTAGTCGGGCAGGCCGTGTCGTATCGCACCGTCCCGCACCACACCACCGCCGCCCAGTCGCAGCCAAGCCAAGTCAAGCACACGGCCAGCTAGCAAGCCGGCACAACTCGGCGCTTGGCTGAGCTATGTTGTGTTGCCGTTCAGCCTGACTATGTGCATCGGTTGAACGAACCTCTCCAAACGAGCACAATAATGACTTCGCTGACACCACCGCTCACCGTCCGCCGCATTGCACTGTGCACGGCGCACAGTACACGAAGCGGCCTTCACAGTGCATACGAACTAATCGGTGGCATGCACGATGTTGTTATTGTTGATGCTAAAAATAGTAACAACAACAACAACAATACTATAATAGAAGTAATAGTTGAAGTAATAACAATGGCCAAGAGCATTGCAACAATGGTTGCTGTTAAAGCGCTTCGGACGCGATTTTGGCCAACTACCGTTGTGCCATCCAGTAAGCAGTTGAAGAAGAAGAGGAAGAAGAGGAAGAAGCCGAACAAGAAAGTCAGCAGTGCAACAATGTTTTGGATGGCAGGGCAATGTAATGCTTATGTTAAATACAACAACAACACCTGCTCCGTACTGCAACATTGCTGAGGCGAACTAGAATATTAGCCAGGTTTGATGCGATTTGGCAGCGAAAATTTTAGTTGAAGGTCTCTCGGTGGCATAAACATATAAAATTATAAATTTATAAAAGTTTAAACGAAACTGAGGTTTGAGTTGAGTTGATTAAATAATATTTGGAACCTTCAGCTGACAGACTCGCTAAAAGGGTCTCTTTAATAGCGTAAAACTAATTTACCCCTGTTCAGTTAATTTGAATTTTTTATTTATTTTTTAATTTATTTATTAATTTTATCGCCACCTTCGTTTGCTATTTATTATTTTATTAACATATATATTAATTTGTTAGTTTCTTAAACTTATTTACATGTTCGAATTGGAATTTTTACTTATTTATATATTTTTCCAGTAAATAAACTATTATAGAATGATTTTTTCATTATTATTTATTCTATTATTTTAACTAAAAAAAAAAAATACTTAATTAATAATTGTATGTTGATTAGTTTTTTATATTCTTTCTATTTATTAATATCACTTATTTACTAATTTATTTGATTTATTTCTTTTTATTTGCATAATTATTATTTAGTGTATTTATTTATTCTGTAGTCATTTACATATTAGATTATTATTAAATTTATTTTTAGTTTTAAATATTAAAGTGTTTAATTTTTTTTATTACTTTTTTTTATACATAAGTATTTATTTTTCTTATAAGCAAATGATATATATTTCAATTTTTAATTTTCTTAGCTATAATTTATTTATTATTTAGTGAGGTGACATATTTTCTTGTTATCTAAGTACTCATGTATTACATAAATAAATAAAGTATTCAAATTTTTAAGGCAACTGAAAAATTCTAGTTAAAAGGAATTCTTAAAAAATCTAAGAAGTAAGTGTTTGTATTATATTTTTTTGCCGTGTAGAGAGCAACACCTGCTTCAAATGCATTACATCAAACGTGTTGCATCGAACTTCGCCGCAATTTGACTGTAATAAAAATCAACAAGTATGTTAGTATTGAACGGAAAGCAAATATGAGCTCATATAAGAGGATTTAGACGACGGCTATAAAATGTAAAACCTTAAGTCCATCAAAAATTTTGAAAATAAGCCCCAGCGCTGTTGAAAAATTCAACAAAAACCATCATACAAGTATCGCATTCGGCCGGATATGAATTTTGTCTTCTTAAAAAATTCTAATTTCGAAGAAGACAAGCCTGTTTCCAGGCATTAGATGACATATGATGAATTCCACGATGAAGTCATTTCTAGAAAATGTATTTAAAAAAAAATTTTGTATTTGGCTTAGTCATTAGGTGAGGATTCCATTTTAAAACAGGTTCAGTTAGATGGGAAAGTAAAACATTGTATAATTAAATAGTAAATATTTATGATTTTATAATTTTTTAAATAATATAATCTTTAAGATAAAAATATTTCCTTACAAAAATTTATTTTCTTTGAACTAAACAATTTAAATGGCATCGAACTAAATTTTTCAAACTCGAATTCAAAATTTAACCACCAGCTCTTCACCCCGCCAAATGTGTGCCAATAAGCTTTCGTGGCGAAATTCTCTATGTGAAAATATCAATTCGCTCCACAGAAAGACCGCGAGACAGAGAAATAGTGAGAGTAACGCAATTTCGCTTAGTAGAGTGATGACATACACATTATTTATACATATACAAAATATTCAAAGCGAGAAAACTCTACACACCGGAAAAACTTTGAGCTTTTGAAGTGGTGGTGGCAAAAAAGCTTTTGCAAATGGTTGGTTAAGATATGTAGAGGTATGTTGTGAGGAAAAGAAGGTTGAGAGTAGAGATTTCACTAAAATGTTTCTTTTCACTATGATGAAAATAATAGGGATATTAAATAAAAATATTATGTCCCAAAAAAAAATTAAAAATTTTTTTTTTTAATTTTTTAAGCTTTGGCTA